CCGCTTCCGCCGCCGTTGACCACTATTATGAGAGTACCTTTAATAACTTCAAGCACCTGTACCTTCTTTCGAAACGGTGAAAGTTGAAATGTTGGAACTTAGTAATCCGATCGTTGCCCAAGAATAAAACGCGCCAATATTTTCAACACTGATATTGGCGGGAAGTTCTAACAATAGGGCTGTGAATTCATACAGTAATCTCTGTGAAACTGTACTTTGTACAGGAAACATGGTGTCATTCGTTTGCAGGACACCGTCGTCTAGCCAGCCAAGCTCCTTTTCGTCAACGCCAGGTACACTATCAAGTCGACGTCCAAAATTTATATTGTTAGTTCTGTCCTCGCCAATGGCGTAACCTCCTATTTTGAGACTGGATTCTGCGTCATCAAAGTCTATCATTGGGTTAAAGTTCAGTAGCACAAAATCCAACCTAGTATCTAGTATTAAAATAGATAATATGGACATGAAAATAAAATCCGAGGAACATTTCAACAACAGCAGCAGCAGCAACCAACATCATCAACAGCAGCAGCAGCAACAACAACAAAAATGTGACGAAAAATAATAAACTTTGCAGTTTGTTGGTATTTTGTACTTTTGGATGGAATTGGATTTATTCACTCTAAACAGAAAAGTATAACCCACCTAAAGTCCGAAGAAGACTTTTTTCTAATGGGATCCTTCTGATGGTGATTGGGCAGTGCACCGGAAGACAACCACCTACTATTTTCCAAAGAGTGCGCTGTGTTCTTAACATGCACGTATGAGCTTTATTGCACATACGGTGAATTAAGGCGCTATATGTGATGGGGATTTGCCACGCGACACGGGCGATCTCCAAAGCCAGGCCGTCTCGTTGGACTTGAATATGAGTCGTGCAAACGTAGGTTAAACTTGACTATATATTTTAATTTTCACGCAGTCTATTTTAGACGTAGCAATTACTATGACGTGGATTTATCTCCAAAATGTATTTATTATTTACCTGAAGTATTTTATAATATACATGTTTATAATGGAACCTCGGTCAAACATCGAGTTATTGCACCTGTATGCATTGTTTTGCAAATTCAACACCGTCGGCGGGTTGTAAACTATCAACTTGGTAGACGGAATCGATACAGCGCACGGTACTTACGGTACGAAAACTCCAACTCAATCGCTCAGATTAGCCTGTCGGGTGATGTTCACCCTAATCCAGGCCCTGATAATGATGATATTAATCAAAATAACAAATGTTTTGAGGTTATTAAACATTGCAAAGGATTGAAAGTTGCTCACAAAAACATCAACAGCCTTTCTGATAAAATTTATCAACTTTGCCTACTGATCCAATACTCCGGTCTACATACTCACCGTGTCTATCGCCTTTCATCCCCGATATAGAAGTTAACATTTCTGGATACACACATTCTCTCACTCATGCACAGACGAGAAAACTTAAGGTTCGTGCCAAATCAACAGGCCGTGTTTAACTGTGGCTTGAAGCGCGAAACTGTAAAAATCTTGTTACTAAACTTTGCAACAAAGCAAAGAAAGATTACTACAGAAGACATAATTGATCCTGTCAGTGAGAGTAAACAAATGTGGGTGGTCCTAATAATCTTATCTCTTCCAATATAAATGTTTTACCTTCATAAATCGAAGTCAACGATAGTACGTTAACTAATTACCTGGAAATTAGCAATGCTTTTAACGATTTTGTTTTGTAAATATTCCTTTTAAATTAGACAGCACACTTGATTGGAATAACATTAATCCTTGTTCTTACTTTGACCCACCTATATCTTCCTTTTCCTTTAATGAGGTTGCAAGCAAGTTTGTTCCTAATAGCTACAGGGCATGGGCTCTGGAACGTCGACTGGTATCAACTGCCATCCTACAAGCTATTGAAGCTGGCGGCCCATGCTATCGCGACTTATTTGACACACACATGTGAATTGTCATTAACAAGTGGATGTTTCCCGCCGATATGAAAGTTGCAAATGTGGTACCAATCCACAAGGGAGGAAAGGAAAGGGCTGTCCATATCTAACTTTATAACTACCTTTCTACTAATAAGTTATTGTTTCCTAACCAATCCGGCTTCCGGAAAACCTATTCTACTACTACTGCACTCACTAATACCTATAACAACTGCCTGGACAGCATGAATGGTGGATGGGCGTCTTACTGTGCAGTTTTTATAGATCTGCGTAAGAGGTTTGACACTGTCAACCATAAAATCCTTTTTGATAAATTGTCAAAGTAGGTGTACACTCATCTGCCAATAGTTGGTTTTCCTCTTATCTTCACAACCGTACGCAAACTGTCAAAATCAAAGGCACCTATTCTGACTTTAATTGGCACACCTCAGCGGCTAAAAAAATAAAGAAATTGACGTGTCTTTTCCTGGCAAACGGATTAAGAAAGTTACTATGCACAAGCACCTTGGTGTTTACACTGACAATAAGCTTGACTGGCATTCACATGTCAGCAAACTTAGCTCCAAACTTGCACATAAGATTCACGTTTTAGCCAGAATAAGACAATTAATTGACTCTCGCACAGCACTCTTATTCTATAATACACTAATTCTCCCACATTTTGACTAACGGCGCCCTCTTGTGGGGTACAAGCAGGCCATGAGAATCATAATTAAAGCACCTTCACGCACTTCAACCAACACACTTCTATCCACACTCAACTTAAGGTGTGTGGCTCAGAGGGTGCGATATCAGGGCGGCTGCCTTACCTTTAAAGTTATCAACAACATTGCTCCTAGTTTACCTAGTTGAGCAAATTTCTAGAGTCTCTGCTTAAATGTTTTAATCATGCATTTAGTTATATTCCTCCTAATTTTTATAATAATTTACCAATTGAGCTCTGGGACTGCAAAATAGAAAAAAAGGATATAAAATTAAGTTAAAACGATATATTTTAAACTCTTAGCCTTTGTTTGGTTGCTTTTTTTTTTATAGATATTCTTATTATTACATTGTTTGATTTTATATTATATTATATTATATTATATTATATTATATTATATTATACTATATTATATTATATTACATTAGACTATATAAATATATTGAAATATGCTATTATGTTATTTAATGTAATGTTGTTATACTTTTAAGACTATGAGGATTGTACGTTTTATATTATGTTATAATGATGTTATATCCACTGTACTGTATTTTAATTTTATTAAGGAGGGCCCCTGAATATCAATTAACTTACTTGGCTAAACTGAAAGGGTTACCCTCTTTAAAAATGGTTGAAATTAAAAAAAAAAAACAAAAAACAAAAAACGACCAATGCGTTGTTGAAACTGGCAATTCAGACTTTCCAAGAGCTAGGATAGTTGAACCAGGGACCAAGGTTTTGTAAAGATCTTCGCAGTTCAGAGCACATACAATGTCTACCAGTTTATTCGACTGAGTGGAATGTTGCCGTATTATTATTATGATTATTATTATTGATAAGAGAATTATAAATACACTGATTAATAATGATTTTATTATTACAAAACTTACGTTCTGTTGGTGTTGTAAAATTCATCGTTGGTGACAGAGGGCCTCGAGATGTCACAGATCCTGTTTTTATCAAGCATGATATACCGATGTTGTAATTTCTGCCCTGAGGGAGATTATTTAATCGATACGATGTGGTTTCTACGTCATCAATCAGCACTTCTTGGTATCCAACTTGAGACGTATCGACGTAGTGAATAGAATAACCTACAACAGGTCCCCCGGTATAATTGAAATCATCCTCAAAATTGTCCCATCTGACAAGTGGGTTAGTTGAGTTGCGGAGGGATAATTCTTCAAAAATAATCTGTGGTGGTTCTGGCAATCTTGGTAACTCTGAATGTGAAAGTATAATGGGTGATTGTAAAAGCACAAACATAATGGCCTATAGTCATCCAGTAATATTAATTATAATGATGATGATATTGATATTGATGATGATGATGATAATAATAATGATATTGACGATGATGATGATGATCATAATGATATTGATAATTATTATTATAAGAAATTAGGATACAAACATAATATGAAAATACTTAATAAGAAAGTTTGAACTACTCAAAAATGAAAACAAAAATTGTAACAATCATGTTATTGTCAACCTGAGAAGTACAAAAAAGAAAAAGAAAAAAAAAAACATAGGCCTACAAGATATTGTGAAATGTACTGTAACTTGGGAAGTTATTTACCTATCTGGCAGTAATCCCCTGCCCATCCCACAGAGCACTTGCCATCGGGACAAATTCCTGTAGTATCGTTACATTCTGATGACGTCAGGCAGTGACATTCTGGTAGAGAATCAAAGTAAAGATCAATTTAGAAATACGACAATTCAATATGTGATTATTTGACAAATATTTCATTTTAGCATTTAAGCATATTTTTGACCGGTTTTAATTATTTGTGACTATTATAGTCCGATATTATTATCCGACCCTGAATCACATCTTTTTACAGACTAAAAAATGTCTACAATTGTTGCTTTTTCTTTTATGCCTTGTCTAACCCTTTTGAGTTAATGTGTGTTGAGTAAAATAAAACACAAATGATATCTTGATTATGGATTAACTTACCGAAGATTTGTCGATTAGGGTTGCATTCTACACTCACGTCATAGTAGTGACGACAGTTATATGAAATGGAATGTCCACTACAATCACTAAGCGTCGGTTCCCAGCCTGAACACTGTGCGCCACCAAAGCAATTTTCACTCTGTGATTGGCCGTAGCGTGCTTCAGTGTAGCCATTAGATGATCCATATGAAAGAACGCCATCAACGAATCCCAGCTGTCTGCAAGTGACCTTTGCCTCTGAAGCTGTCCAGGAAGACTTTACGATCGGAATCCAGTTGTATCCACTCCATAACTCCACACGTCCTTTGTTAGCTGAACTGCCACCAACGAGCCGAATTAATGATGTGATCTCATGGTCTAATTTTGATAAATATTATTTAAATGAAAAATATCTGTCAGAAACAGTATTATTCTCCTAAAGCCTGTTTTCCACTAGGCGAATTTATTCTCGCGAATCCAAAGCGTTCACATTCCTATCGGAGTTTTTGCGAAGCGAAAAAATGCGCAATCAATCAGAGCTCAGGAAGCGAACCTCCGCCTTGGTTCGCGCGAACAAATTCACCTAGTAGAAAACCAGATTTCGACGATTGAAGCAACTGAATCGAAACGTCAAAACATTCTTAACGACAATAGTTGGTTTCAGAACTATCTGCGTGATGTACCACAGTCATTTAAAGAATATCGGATAATAAAGAACTACTTCAATATTGTAAAGAAGAATGTGCTGCAATTCCGGTCATACCGTTCAAGTAAATATTATTGGCTTTAGCAAAGATGAAGTCAACAGGATTACTATAGGTTAGATTTAATTGATTAATATTCCCAGAAATTTTTTTAACAGTAACTTGTTCTATTATTGGAAGAGTTAAAATCATGTTCATACTTAATTGGATATTGTTTAAAGAAATTATGAGGCTTGTCGGATTAAATGATCTTCCATCTGAATGGTAGTCTGCTAACGCATCCAAATAACTAACAGAACGGATAGTTCAAACAACTTCAGATCGTCAGCAAATAACATATTTAATAGAGTATTGGGGCTTTAAGTTAAACGAAATATCATAATTAAACTGAGAGGGGGACACCGGATGTGAGAGGCAGCCGCTCTGATATACAACCGTTATAAGCCACTCTGCTTTCTAAGGAACCGAGGCTCTAGTAGGCCCCTGTCTCCCGGACATGTTGGACCCTCTGTTAGCAAATTTATGTACAATAGTTACCACTGGCAAGTGTGTTTAATTGTAGATTATTTATTTATTTCCTTTAGGTCTATTTTAATACCTTATAAAAAAAAAAAAATGCTTATATAATACATTTTATCTGATAGGCCTATTTAATTAAATTTTTGCTGATATCAGAAATGCTAATCAATTTTGACTTACAGAATAAGACAAAAAAATAAAGATTGAACTACAATAAGCTAATATAAATTATAAGAACACATTGGAGGGGGAGCCATTGTGAATTTTAATTGACTTTCGGCTAACTGAGTTTCGGCAATATAAACTGGGTTTCGAAAAAAAAAAACTGGGATTCATGGTTGTTGAGTAGTCAAACTGGGTTTCGGCCAAGTGGACTCGGCAATCTGGAATTCGGCAAACTAGGTTTTGACAATCTAGCCTAGATCCTAGATAACGGTTCGTATCAATTTAAGGATGCTACCTGTGATGCCTAACTTACTGATCTTGAAAAACCAGAAGATCATGACAGACTTTGAGTCTGCAATCACTTAATAAGCAACCTATAGCATCGTGGCAAAATTAGTCTGATATGATCTTCTAGGAACAAAACCATGTTGGGCATTACAGATAGCAAGGGATATGTGCTTAACAATGTGTTAATATTTTCACACATTTTTGAGACCGTAGCAAAGAAATTGGGGGAAAGTTTTCGCAGAGGACCTAGAAACACCATTATGAATAGGGCAGATTCTTGCGGTTTTCCAGAGTGTAGGACAACAACCTGAATCAGTGGATTTTTTTAAAAATAGAGGACAATGGGATGGAAAGTGAAGTGGCAACATATTAATAGCCTTATATATAATGTCACTACCAGAACTTATGAGGTTGGATATTCTTATAAAGATGATGTATCTATGATGATTTAATTACTAGGGCGGATGCAGCTGGGGGCACAGACTGTGTGATTGCACCCACCTAAGTTGTTTTGAACTGCTGATATGACATAAGAGTAAGATTTTTAAGGTATGAGAGTGCAATTTCCGGGCACCTAGAGGTCCATATTCTCAAAATGTTCTCACCTCAGCCCAAACCATGGTGGGTCCAAGGTGCTGTGGACTCTTACGCACCTGTTACCATCAAATCCTGCATCTGCCCCAGAATTACAAAGCAAGCAGAGAAATTTAAAAAAAAAACAAAAACAAAAACAAAACAACAACATTGAAGAAACTAACGGTGCACCAAGCAGATGACGCCTACATCTTCGCCATGTCCACAATCATGATTTCGCCAACCATTATGACTGCATTCAGCAATACGAGACTCCACTCCTGTACACTGAAGGTTATCCAGATTGATATGGCCAGTTCCTTCACCAAACGTGCTTACTGGATTGTTTTGATAAGGCCCATCGTAGCCAAGTTGACGACACACAACCGTTGCGTCTTCAATTCCAAATCCATCATCGCATACCGTTCCCCATGATCCACCATAAAATATTTCAAGACGCCCCTCACCTTCCCGTTGACCGTTACTAAGTCGAATATTGCCATTCTTAGATGAATAATGTTGCTGAACAGGGACTTGCCAGCTACGCCCTATCAATATTACGTTATAGAACGTTATATAGTAACGTTACAGTTTGGTGAAAAAACGTTATTTTGTAGAACCATATGTACGTACTTATAACCTAATATCACAACCTCAAACATTTGAACGTTCTTTCAACGTTGTATAAACGTTATTTGTGACATACCTAACCACAACGTTCGCGACCGTTATAAGAACGTTGTGAGTTTGCTGGGTATCATGACAATGATACATATTGGTAATAACAATAATAATATTAAAATTGTTATAAATGTGGTATTTATATTGAAATTCTAAATAATATTATTCTCATTAAATTATTTTGGCATTTGTATAAATATAATAATAGGCCTAATGTCTATCCACGCTATCAAATTTTCTTTGAAAAAAAAAACAAAAAAAAAAAACCAAAAAAAAAACTGTAGTATGCCCGTATAGGACTAGTCTTGATGTTCCTAAATAATTTAGACATGATGACATCACTTGTCACATTTTTTTGTCAAATACATCACCGCATACCGTTCCCCATGATCCACCATAAAGTATCTCAAGACGCCCCTCACCTTCCTGTTGACAGTTACTGAGGCGAATATTGGCATTCTCTGATGAATAATGTTGTTGAAATGGGACTTATGATAATATTAAAATTGTTAAAATTACAATGATAAAATTGAAATTGTTAAAAATGTGGTATTTATATTGACATTTTAAATAATATTATTCGGACTAAATTATTATTTTGGCATTTGTATTAATATAATATATATAAGAATGTTTGTTACGATTTACCGAACAAATCTGGAAGAAATATATCGTGGAACCATCCTTTTAAGCCCAATTGTCGTTAAGAGCATTTTACACTAACATGAATCTACAAAATATTGAGCTGAATTTGTAAATAAAGTTGTGTTAGAATAGTATAGTGAAAATATGCTGGCACTAATAATCAGGCAATTCAAGAATCGTTAGAAATTATAGGCTAGGTGAGATTAACTTTAGTATAGAAATACAATGGCAGTAGAAAAATTAAATTAAACTTTAGAGGCACGTCTCTATGAATAAGCCACTATAAATTGATGAAGTTTGGAATAAAAAAATTTCAATTTAAGGTAAATGTCCGAAATTTGTGGTGGTTTTATGTAAAAAGTCAGTAAATTTTAACGACTTGTTTAGCTCCTATTTGAATTATTATGGTCTATTGCAATACCTTCCAATGAGAGACCAGCTGAATTGAAATGCTGGGCTACAGGTTACATTTATTTACGCAGGATATACAAGCAGATGTATTTTTTTTAATTTAATATTTAATTTAATATTTTTTTTAATTAATTAGGTCATTTTTCAGTAAAAATTATTAACTTGAGCATAGAAATTATTGAATAAAAATATGTGTACCCTGATTTTCATTCTGGATGATAATAAAAATAATAATTATAAAGACACTTCCAGGGAATCCACGTGTGTTCTTCAAATTATATATCAGTTGTTCAAACAAAAAAATTATGTCAAGGCATGTAGACAATAGAACACTGTATTTATTTTCGAAAGAAATGTTGGGCCTGTCCTGTGACATT